GCTGCTCATTCAGCCACACACATACGTACCCTGTAACCTTTCTCTTGTATGTACCATCTCTTCTTCATACTTGTCCTCTGGCTTTGTGGTGTTGAAAATGTGAATTATAATGGATAGATTCATATGTAGGAAGAAACTTAAAAGATAAGACAAGATAAGACTGTGCTTCATGAAGATTTCTGTGGCTGAGCCTTCTAAGTAACCCTGAAAATGTGAAACTCAAAGGCAAGATGTCTAAGAGGATTATAAAATGAGAACAGAGACCAATCAGTTAGCTCCTCAGTCAACAGACATTTATTAAGCCCTTGATGTTCCTGGAACTGCTGTGTACTCGAGGTACAAACAAAGGCAAAAACACTGTTCCTGCCCTCAAGGAACTCACTTTCTAATAGAAGAGAAAGCCTGTAAATAACTGTATATACAAGATACATACAGGGTAAATGGAAAGTAATAACCCAGGGAAAGGTCTCTGAGTTCAGCATACAGTGTGTATGTATGTGGAAGCAGCTAAGTGGTGTAGTGGATAGAGCTCTGGGCCTGGAGTCAGGAAGACCTGAGTTCAGATGCGGCCTCAGACACTTACTAGCTATGTGACCCTGAGCAAGTCACTTAACTCCTATTTGCCTCTTCATCTGTAAAATGGAAACACAGTGGAGCAGGAAATGGCAAACCACTCCAGTATCTTTGCCAAGAAAACCTGATGGACAGAATCCATGGGGTCAGTTAGTCAGACATGACTAAACAATTCAACTACAACTATGTGTGTGTGTGTATGTATGTATGTATTTGCCACTTGTCATGTCACTCTAGTGCCTTGCATATAGGAGGTAGATTGCACTCAAGTCACTCCCATTAGTTTCAAGCCTGCAGGTTGGCAAGGCATTGTTAAGGTACAAAGTAGCATTACTTTGATCATGTGAAAAGGCAGGCTCCTTGTAGAGCTAAGCAGTCTCCAAATACTGCTGACTCTGCAGATTTAGACACAGCGTAAGTTTTCCCAAGAGGTCTCATAAATACCTGGGACAAACCCAAGCCCGAGAATCCTTGTACTGTAGAAACTGGCACCCCTGAGCTACTTTGTTGACCTCTTTAATGAGGATGGAACCACCATAAACTGAACAAATCCATCTATTTCCACTGAAATAGATGAATACCTAGGGCAGATAGGTGGCTCAGTGGATAGAGCACTGGATCTGGAGTCAGGAAGACTTGAGTTTAAATTTGGTCTCAGATACTTGTTAGCTGTGTGACCCTGAAGAAGTCACTTCTGTTTGCCTCAGGTTCTTCAATTGTAAAATGATGATAATAAGAGCACTTACTTCCCAGAGTTGTTAAGAGGGTCACATGAGATAATATTTGTAAAGTGCTTAGCATAGTGCCTTGCGCATAGTAGGCATTATATAAATACTAAATTTTAAAGGTAGTGCAGTGAATAGAGTGCTGGGTCTGTAGTCAGGAAGACTTGAGTTCAACTCTGGTCTCAGATACTTACCAGCTGTGTGACCCTGAGCAAGTCACTTAACTTCTCTTTGCCTCTGTAAAATGAGAATAATAATAATAGCACCTAAACTCTCAGGGTTGTTAGGATCAAATGAGATAATAATGTAAAGTGCTTAGCATGGTGCCTGGCACATATTAAGTGCTATATAAATGTTAGTTATATTATTATTAATTATTATTATTATTATAGCGATTCTTGTTCAGAGGCAGTCAAGACATCTGAAAGAATACTGGAATGCTCTCCATCCTTCAGGGAAAGGCAGCTTTTTTCCTATCTGGAGCTGAAATGTTGATTTAAAAGGGGAGAGAGATGATTCTAGATAAAATCACAGCCACCTTCCCCCAAAAAAACCCCAAACTAAACTTTTTAATCTCTCAATTTTTCTAATGAAGTGGCCTTCCTTCTCATATCCCCCTTCTACCCTTGTTTTAGCCATATTTTCATGTTCCTTGAGAGTAAGACCTATTTATCAAGTAAGACCTATTTACCTTAGCACAGTGTCTGAGATCAGATTTAAACTCGTCTTCCTTACTGTAGGCCTAGCATCCTATCCACTTGCAACCTATAATAGCTAGCAGCAATATAGTATATATAGCAATATAGTAATATATACTATGTGCAAAGCACTGTGCTAAGTACTTTACAAGTATTGTCTCATTTGATCCTCATAACAACCCCAGGAGTTATGTGCTATTATTATCCCTATTTTACAGATGAGGGATATTTTATATCCCCAGTTCTAGTACAGTGTGCCTTCTACATAGTAGGTGCTTTTTTAAAAAAAAAAATGCTTGTAGATTATTGAATGAATCATCTTTCCCATGAGGAGAGGGATTAGAGAATTCCTCATTTATAATTTCATTAATGTGTCAAAAGATGCTGATGAGATAAAAAAAAAATACTCTGGCTGAATTATGCTGAAGCAGTGTGTTAGCAAAAGCGGCGTGGTCTCTTTAATTTCTTGATGTGGCATGGTTACCGTAAATAGCTTATTCTTCCATAAAGAGGCTTCTGTAAAGAAGAACCTCCAAGGAAGCAACCTCCCTTGACTAATGAAACAGTCTTTTGGAACAATGGTTCTTGTCTTTTTTTAGCCTTTTATGGAGGCTGTCAGCAGGAATTATACATAAACATTGAAGAATTCATTACCTACCCTTCAATTAAGCAACAATTGCATGGCTTTCTAGGGTAGGCAGGATTAATTGCAAATAATAATTATGGTGTGACTAGCAAACATTTAAGACTTCCTAAAATCCCTCTTAAACTCAGTGACAGTGAATTTAGGAGATGAGAAAAAGAACAGGTTGAATTTAGGAAAGGCAAACTTCAAGGATGGGGCATCAGTGTTTTTTTTTTTTTTTAATGACTTTTTTGTTCAGAGGCAGTCAAAACATCTGAAAGAATACTGGGATCCTCTTCATTATTCAGAGAAATGCAGCTTCTTTCTCCATCCAGGGCTGAAAAGTCAACTTAAAGGCTAGATATAATCACAGCCACTTAAAAAAAAAACCCACCAAGAACCCCTCTGACTTCAGTCATTTTTTGTGTCTCAAAGAAAAAACCAGTCCATCTTAGATTAATTCTGCTGTTTTAGCCTGACTATAGAGAATGTGCATAGTCGCAATTACTAACATTTCAATGGCTTCACATTTTTACTTTCCTTGGAGTCTCATAATCTGGTTCCAACATTTTCGAATTGATCTACATCCAATTTTTCTTCAGATTTCATCCAACTCTTGACAGGTTTTAGGGAGAACATACCTCTGCCTTGATACTGCCATGAGTTCAAAACTTCACAGGTTTCTTTTTGGTGAAATGGAAAGTGCTGAATTTAGCCTTAATTTAAGTAGCTGAAAAGAAAATATTTTTCTCCTTCCCAAAAGCTGAGGAACTAGAATGGCAGGTTGAACTAAACTGCAGTTTAACTATGAGCTGTTAGAAGTTGTTACATGAGTGGATTACAGTGTAGGCAGTTTCAGTATAGGCTTAACAAATGTTTGGTCTGTTCACAATGAGATGCTTGTCTTCCCTTAATTCCTAGGAACAGATGATCTAATTTATAATGGTTGGAACACTGGGTGATGGTGCTCGAAAGAGACGTCCTATATTGGCCTGGAAACGACTTGTGTTGTGTGTTCTAAGTGAATCAAAAGGTACACTGAAAGAGGCAAAATGATATTGGAGAAATTGTGGCAGGCAACGTGGTGATTTTAATCTTTAAGAGGCCAGTCATGTTTAGAAATATTACCATGTCCTGAGTTTTCTGTGCCTTTCTTGCAAAATTCAGATCTTTATTTATTTATAGAAAATTTATTTATAGAAAGTAATATACCTGGTACCAAAGTATGAAAGTTACATAGAAACAGATTTCAGTTTAATATAAAGAACTTCCTAAAAAGCTTTTCAGGTGTGGAATTGGATGCCTTGGTATTATAAAGTTCCCTATCATTGTAGGAATTCAGGAAGGTGTTGCATCATCACTTGCCAGACATGTCAGATAGACAATTCATGTTTTGGGGAGGGAATGAAACACTTTATTTCTAAAGTACCTTCTGCCTCAGTGAATTGGTATTTTTGTGCCTCATACTGCCCTTCTGATGGAATTTCATGTACTTGGAAAGAAATTAGTAGGAAGAATTAAGATTTAATACATTATTGTACCTTGTTAAAACTTCTTTTCTTTTAAAGAGGACACTCTGTAGTGATTGAACTTCATTTTACAATTATTACGATCTTAAATGCTTATCAAATTGTAGATTAGCTATTTCTCTTTGAAATATTGACAAGTTGCCTAGTTATTGAGCCAGCTTTTCCCATACTCCTTTATGATGGGGTGCTATAACAGGTATAATAGCCCTATGAGATAGATTGTATGAGAATTATTATCTCTTTTGTAGGTGAAAAAACTGAGTGAGTCTTAGGGAGGTTACATGATCTTGTATCTGAATCCAAAGGCTGTTTAATGATAAGACTGTTTAATATCTATTTAAAAAACTCATACTCAGAATTCCCCAACTTTAACAATATCAGTGACTACTATTTATTGGGAGGGTGTGTGTGTATGTAATGTGTGTGTGTAATGACCTCAAAAAGTTGTTTTTCCCTGTTTTTAATTGGCGAGTAATAGAGGTTCTTATTCCTCATTTTCTACTCTGAAAGGTTGAGCATTTCATCAATATCTTTGAAACATCTGTACAATATTAACTCTCTTGGCTATAAAATCCAGACTAAGGGAAAAAATGCTTGAATAATGCAGTTTCTTACTTTTAGCAGGATAGCAAATATGAGCCATCGTGATATTCAAGTGCTCTGCAGTGTTTCAAAAATGTGTAAACAGCCTAAATTCACCTTATGTTTGATTACAGTGTTATTACTGGCTGCTGTGGCAAGCAAGAATGAATTAACTTTTTTTTTTTTAAAGCATTCAATTCACAAGGGAGAAACAGTGCAAAACAATGGTCAATGTGTATATCATTGTAGTTCTTTTGTCTCCCTCCAGCTTTTCTTAAACCCAAACGGGACTGCGCATTATTTGATTCTTATTCTGAATCAATGTCAGTAAACCAACAGCCACGAGACTTGAATCGGATTGAGGTAAGAAAAATCTATTTCTATTAATAAACCAACTAGAAATAGGTGTCGCATGTGAATCTGAAGGCTTTGATAGCAATGTTAAAAAATAAATTTTTATCATTTATCTGCCCATAAACTAGTTACTTACTTACTTTGGGAGCTAAATGTACAAAAACTATACTTTAGGTTCATTTATTATAGATTTTTTTTCAAGCATTTGGAAATACCTTAGATATATAGAAAGACAAAGCTGAAGTCTTCTAGTTTGATCCCTGCTTACTTTTTCAGCATTCCCTTCTCCCTCTCGCTGCAGTCTAAATGCTTATATTTTGGCCCTACTTTTTAGGTTGAGCTTAGTTGCCTACTATTTGCAAGATACTGTACCAATGAGCTAAGATAGCCTCGCTGTTGAGAGCAGGTTAGAACTGAGGGCTGTACCTGCAAGCAATTGTGTGATAACTTGAACATTCATTTATACGAAGCAAGTTTGGGCTCCAAAAGTACGTTTGGAGACATTGCGTCCTTGTGGATTTTTAGCCCTTGAATCAGTCAAGATGACCATTGGATGATCCCCAAAACTGGCCCAGAAAATTTTCCTTGATTTCATCTTTTTAAGGAGAGATTTCAGTGCTGCTCTTCCTTACAATGCCTACAATCCCCCTTTCCCCTATCTGTCCCCCGCCTCCCTAATCATTAGGAAATGAACAGTCCTCCCATTGGGCTAAGCCAACCACTGTTAAGGCCATTGCAGTAGTGATAAAAGTTAAATGAAGGATACTGAGAACATATACTTTGAATATTTTTTATTCACGTGAGATCCTCTTGCATATATTCTAGACAGGTATTTGAGATGTGAAGGTAGTGGTTGGATGCTGCTTAGGTCTTTTTTTTTTTTTTTGGTCACATTTAGACTTTACAGAGTGCTTTCTTTACAATAGCCCTATGAGACAGATTATACAAGAATTATTATCTCTCTTTTGTAGATGAAGAAGCTGAGTGAGTCTCAGAGAGGTTAAGTGATTTGCCTAAGGTCACATAACAAATAATGATCAGAGCTGAGACTTGAGTCTTTTTATTCCAAGATGGCTATTTTTTTTTCACCATATTATTCAGGATAAAGCTTCTCCATTGATTCAGTTCAACTCAACACATTTATCAGGTGACACAGTCATTGACCTGGAGTAGTAGAGAATGTAATGGGAAGATACAAATATGTATAACATAAGGCAGAATATTATAAGCATAAAGGAGAATCAGAAAAAAATGCCATAAGGGTATTTAATAAGGGAGAAATCACTTTTATCTAAGAAACTGAGGGAAGGCTTTGTGGAAGAGCTGATACCTATGCTAGATTTGGAGGGAGGAGAGAAGTATTTTATCAGGTATAGAGATGTGGGACATGTATTCCAGGAACTGAAGATAGCTTGCATGCATGCATAGGGGTAGAATGGTGCCCTAATTGTCCCTTATAGAGAAAGGTAAGAATCAATGGAAGACCAGTTAGGATGTTCCTATAATAGTTCAGAAGCGCCAGAACTAGGGATGCTAATGTCTGTTGGGAGTAGAGAGGTGTGGACAGATGAAAAAGATTGTAGAGGAAGAATTGTCAGGAGTTGGCAAGACATAGCCTGGCTGTCCAAAATCTGACCTGAGCATTGGGAAGACTTTGTATAAGAGCATAATTATGAGATAGCTGTGTAATAACAGAGGGAGTGTCATGAGTATTTATGCTTTCTTATTCAAGCATCTCATTCTGGACATGATGCTTACATTTGAGCTTTGCATTTCTAATGAATGAATACTACTTCATGAAGGAAAAAATATTAGGCTCATGTGGTTATTGAAAGTTATTACTTAGAAATTTTTTTTCAGTACATGCACATTCAGCTTTATGTACTTGAAGTCATGACTTTGGGTGGAAAGCACACCCAGTATTATACGCAAATTATTAGTTTCATTTCTTTTTAAAAAGCTCTCATTTTGGGGTATGAGAAGAGCCCTCAATAGAGGAAAACTGAAATCCAGAGAGTGAAAGAGCCTGTGCCATTGTTTCATAGTTAGTAACTGACAGAGCCAGGATTCATTAATTACAGAATTTTAGAGTTGGGAAGGTCCTCAGTAGCCATCTGCTGCATCCCATGCATGAAAGGGAATATCTCCTAAAGCATACCTGACAAATGGTCATCCACCCTCTGCTTGTAGCTCTCCAGTGAGAAGGAGCTAATTACCTATTAAGTCATACCATTTCCTTTTGGATAGCTCAGAAATTTTTCCTGACGCCAAGCCTAGGTTTAGCTCTTTGCACTAACTTTTCCAGAACTAACTTCCCAGTGTTCGCTGTTCTTCTCTCCAGGGCCAAAAAGACCAAATCTGATTTTGATTTCACGTGACAAGCCCTTCACATATTCGAAGATATGTATCAAGTTTCTTCTAAGTCTTCTCTTTTTCAGGCTGAACTTCTCCAGTTCCTTCCATGAATTCTTAGATCCTATGAACATGGCTTTTAACCATAATGGTTGCATTTATCTGCCTTTACCTGGATCTTCTCCAGGTTATCATTGTCCTTTATAAACTGTGATGCCTCCAACTAAACAAGGACCCCAGGTGTTGTTTGATCAGGACAGAGTACCCCAGGGCTGTCTATCACCTGCTTATTCCTAAGAGCTGTGCCTTTGTTAATGTAAACCAAGGTCACATTAGCTTTTTGTCTGTTTTATCACATTGTTTATTCACATGGCATTATAGTCTGCTAACACCTCCAGATCTTTGTCACTGTCTAACCATATCTCCTCCATTTTTTCCTATTTAACATTCATAATTCTTACATTTTATATTATTATTATCAGTTCAGTGCTTTAGGCTCACAAGATCTATTTGGGTCCTGAATCCCATGTCCATTGTTGGCTATCCTACCTAGATTTGTGGCATCTGTGAATCTGATATTGTAAGTTGTTTCAGTCATGTCTGACCTTCTGTGACCCCATTTGGGGTTTTTTTTGGAAAAGATATTGGCGTGGTTTGCCATTTCTTTCTTCAGCTCATCTTACAGATAAGTTAACTGAAGCAAAGGTTAAGTGACTTGCCCAGGGTCACATAGCTACTAAGTGTCTGAGGCCAGATTTGAACCCAGGAAGATGGGTCTTTCTGACTTCAGGCCTGGCCTTCTATTCACTGCACCACCTAGCTGCCCCCTGTAAATTTGGTGAGTAGACCTTTTATGCCTTCATCCAAGTTATAAAAGAGCACAGAACCAAACATAGCTACTAGGATAACTCCACCAGAGATCTCCTGTCCAATTGACATTGTAACTGTACTATTGTGTGGTCTATATCTGTCCTGTTTTCCACAAGAGGCAGCCAAGTGCTGTGGTGGATAGAGCGTGGGACTTGGTGTCAGGAAGACCTGAGTTTGAATCTCATCTCAGACACTTACAAGTTGTGTGACCCTGGTTGTGTAACCTTTCTGTGCTTCATTCTGTTTGCTCATCTGTAACTTGAGGACAGTAATACCACTTCCTTCGTGGGACTGTTGTGAGAATCAAATGTGTTCACATGTGTAAAATGCTTTGCAAACCTTGAAGTGCAATTGATATAAATGCTAGCTATTGTTGTTATCCACAAGAATAGCGTGAAACTTATTTGCTCAAATCTAGTTTAAAATATCTACAGCGTGGAAGCTGAGCCAAAGTGGTGGGGTAAAGGCAGGGACTTGCCTCAGCTCTCCCCGAAACTCCTCCACCTTTAAAAATGACTCTAAACACATTCTAGAGCAGCAGAACTCACAAAAAGACAGCATGAAACAAATTTCCAGCCCAAGACAACGTGGAAGGTTGACAGGAAAGGTCTGTTGCACCAGGCTGAGAAGGAGTGCAGTTCAGCACAAGCTGGGCCGGCACAGCCCCGGCCCCAGCAAACCAAGAGAAGGCCTTGGGAGCCGCTGAATCAGCAGCAGCAGCAGCCGTGGCTGCTTCCAGAGCTCTCAGCCCACACGTAGTAAAGGGGTCGAACAACAGGTTAGAAGGAGATTGCAGGGGTCTTTGTGCTAGCACTGAGGCAGGATTCTGTTGCTTTGCCCATACGCAGATTCAGGTCCCAGTCCTGGGTGGCAGTCCCAAGGTGAGTCAAAGTTCCTACATCCAAAGCCTCCAAGAAAATATGAATTGGTTTCAGGCTGTGGAAGAACTCAAAAAGGATTTTGAAAATCAATAAGAGAAGTAGAGGAAAAATTGGGAAGAGAAATGAGAGTGAGGCAAGAAAATCATGAGAAAAGAGTCAACAGCTTGGTAAAAGAGACACCAAAAAATACTGAAGAAAATAATACCTTAAAAAACAGACTACCAAACAAATGGTAAAAGAGGTCCAAAAATACAATGAGTAGAAGAATGCCTTAAACAGCAGAATTGACCAAATGGAAAAGGAGGTCCAAAAGTTCACTGAAAAAAATAATTCCTTAAAAATTAGAACAGAGCAAGTGGAAGCTAATGAGTTTATGAGAAATCAAGAAACAGTAAAACAAAACCAAAAGAATGAAAAAAAAATAGAAGGCTGTGAAATGTCTCATTGGAAAAAACAGCTGATCTGGAAAATAGATCCAGGAGAGAGAATTTAAAAATTATTGGACTACCTAAAAGCTGTGATCAAAAAAGGAGCCTGGACATCATCTTTTAAGAAATTGTCAAGGAAAAAATCTGCCAATCACCTCCTGAAAGAGACCCCAAAATGAAAATTCTCAGGAATATTATAGTCAAATTTCAGAGCTCCCAGATCAAGGAGAAAATATTGCAGGCAGCCATAAAGAACCAGTTCTAGTATTGTGGAACCACAGTCAGATTTAGCAGCTTCTACATTAGAGGACCATAAGGCTTGGAATATGATATTCTGTAGGTCAAAGGAGCTAGCATTACAACCAAGAATCACCTACCTGGCAAAACTGAGTATAATCCTTTGGGGGGAAAAATGGACATTCAGTGAGATAGAGGATTCTCAAGCTTTCTGACGAAAAGACCAGAGCTGAATAGAAAATTTGACTTTCAAATACAAGACTCAAGAGAAGCAGAAAAGGTAAACAGGAAAGGGAAATCATAAGGGACTTAATAAGCTTAAACTATTTGCATTCCTACATAGAAAGATGATATTTGCAACTCATAAGACCTTTCCCATTATTAGTTAGAAGGAGTATATATTGAGAGAGGGCACAGGTGTGAGTTGAAGATAAAGGGATGCTATCAAAAAAATGAAATTAAGGGGTGAGAGAGGATTATACTGAGAGAAAGTAAAAGGGAGAGGTAGAATGGGATAAATTATCTCAATAAAAGAGGCAAGAAAAAGCTTTTACAGTGGAGGGGAAAAAGGAGGAGGTGAGAGGGAGTGAGTGATCCTTACTCTCATCGGAACTAGCTCAAAGAGGGAATAGCATAAGCATGCAATTGGGTATAGAAATCTATCTTATCCTGCAGAAAAGTAGGGAGGGTAGGGAATAAGAGAATGGGGGGGGTTATAGAAGGGAGGACATATTGGGGAGGGGGTAGTCAGAAGCAAAACATTTTTGAGGAGGGACAGGGTGAAAGGAGAGAGAGAATAGAATAAACGGGGGTGGGGGAATAGGATGGCGGAAAATGTAGTTAGCAAGAGTAACTGGGGAAAAAAGTTTGAAGCAAGTTTCTCTGAGAAAAGCCTCGTTTCTCAAACGTATAGAGAGCTGAGTCAAATTTATAAAAGTAAGAGCTATTCCCCAATTGATAAATGTTCAAAATACATGAACAGTTTTTAGATGAAGTCATCAAAGCTATCTATAGCCATTTGAAAAAATACTCAAACTCACTATTGATTGGAGAATGCAAATTAAAACAATTTTGAGGTACTGTCTCATACCAATTAAATTGGATAATAGGACAGAAAAGGTAAATGACAAATGTTGGAGGGGATGTGGGAAAAATGAGACATAAATTCACTGTTGGTGGAGTTGTGAACTGATTCAACCACTCTGTAGAGCAATTTGGAGCTATGCCCAAAGGGCAATACCACTACTAGGTCTGTATCCCAAAAAGGAAAAGGACCTATATGTACAAAAATATTTATAACAGTTCATTTCTGGTCGCAAAAAAATTAGAAATTGAGGGGATGCCCATCAATTGGGGAATGGCTGAACAAGTTGTGTTATGTGATTATGATGGAATACTATTGTACTATAAGAAATGATGAGCAGGGTGTTCTCCGAAAAACCTGAAAATACTTGCAGGGGCTGATGCAAAGTGAAATATACTGTGTACAAAGTAACAGCAATATTGTAAGATGATCAGCTGTGAATGACTTAGCTATTCTCAACAATACAACGATCCAAGACAACTCTGAAGGACTTGTGATGAAAAATGCTACCCATCCCCAGAGAAAGAATTGATGGTGTCTGAATACATATTGAAGCATACTTTTTTTTTTCTTGAGTGTTTTTGTTTGTGTTTTCTTTCACAACATGACTATTATGGATATGGTTGGCATGACTACACATTTATAACCCATATTGAATTGCTTGCCTTACCAATGAGGGGGGATCAATGAGGAAGGAAGGGGGAGAATTTGGAACTCAGAATTTTGAAAACTAATGTTAAAAATTGTCTTTACATGTAACTGGGGAAAAATAAAATACTAAATAAAAGCTAAAAATTATCAACAGCATTCCCTTCATCTACAAGTTTAATATCCTTGTCAAAAAGGGAAGATGAAGTTAATCTGGCATGATTGTTTTTTTAAATAATTATTTTTCCCTCATTACATGTTAATACAATTTTGCACATTTTTTTTTTTGTTAAGTTTTGAGTTCCAAATTCTATTCCTTTCTCCCTCCCCTCCCTCCTCCCTGAGATGGCAAGGAATGTAAGATGTGCAGTCATCTAAAACATTTCCATATTAGTCATTTTGTACAAGAAGCCCCGAACAACAACAAAAGAAATAAAGAAAGAGAGAGAGAAAGAAAGAAAGAGAAAAATAGTGGCATGATTGGTTCTTGATGAAACCATGATGACTCTTGGTGATCATTACTTCTTTTTCTAGATGTTCGTTATCTCTTTAATTACTCATTTTTAGACTTCACAGTCAAGCTCATTGGCCTATAGTTTGCTGACTCTACTTTCTTACCTTTTTTTTTTTTTTGAAAATTGGAATATCACTTGCCCCTTTTCTATCTTGTGGTATCGCTTTTTACTTCCATGACCTTTCAGATGTCATTGATGGTGGCTCAGCAGCATAACCTACCAGGTTTTTAAGTTCTTGGGGATTTAGTTCATCTGGACCAGATGATTTGAATGATCACCTCCCTCTTAGCCATTTTTTATCTCTTCCAGGGCATTCTTGGAGGAGAACAAGCAAAATAAGAATTGAGCAGCTCTGTCTTCTTGTTGTCTGTTGTTATCCCATGTACCCTGAGCCTAGGTCCTATCCTTTCTTTGTTCTTCCACTTTCTCCTGATATAACTTGAAAAAACCCTCTTTTCTGTCCTTCACTTTCCTTATCAACCTTGGTTCATTCTTATCTTTAGCCCTCTTGTTCCTGTTCTTATAGAAAATCATGCAGCACTTTTTTTGTATTCATCTTCTGTCACCTGCCTTTGCTTTCAACTTCTGAATCCTCTAGATTTTGGCACAATGCCTGGCATAGGGAAGGCACTTGATAAGTGCTTACTGAGTGTATCTGTCTTCTTAAAATCTAAGTTGATTGCTGAGTTTTCTTTGTGTCTTTAGATCTCCATTGTTGATGGCAGCCTATCCCTTCTGGGCTGACTTCCCCTGAAGAATTCTCATCCATGGGACTGTACCTCTCCTTCCATTGAGCCCTTTGAAGTTTCTCCTCCCAAGATTTGGAGGACATAGTGGACTGTGCCTAGCTTTCTTTTTGTTCTTTATTACAAACCCCAGGAGGAAGTCACCTTCCCATAGGGTTCTCAGCATTTCTACTTGATTCCCGTCTCTAGGCTACCAGATTAGTTGCCTGATGCATCCATCAGAGGAGTTATGGTGAGAACATGACTTGCTATCACATTACCTCTGATAAGCAGGCCAGGCAAATCGCTACAATTCTAAGCTACTTCTTGGCAAATGCCATATTACTTTCTTGAATTGAGTTCTATTTTTCATGTAGTAAGTTTGCATGTTTCATATAGAGAAGGCATATAGAATTATTGATCTCAAATTTAGAAAAGATTAAAAGTAATTTGTGGCACCTAGAAGGCATCATGAATAGAATGCTGGTCTTGGAACCAGGAAAGTCTGAGTTCATGTGCCAGCTCAGCCACTTAGCTAGCTGGGCAAGTCACTTAACCGATCTCGGTCACAGTTTTCTCATCTGTAAAATGGAAATAAAAATAGTACCTACATAGCAGAGTTGTTGTGAGGATCAAATAAGATAACTTATTTTAAAAGTGCTTTGAAAACTTGAAAATGCTTTACAAATACTACTATCACATTATTACTATTACTAGCATTTTCAGTTAGGGCAGCTAGGTAGCTCAATGGATACAGTGCCAGGCTTGGAATCAAGAAGATTCAACTTGAAATCTGGTCTCAGACACTTACTAGCTGTGTGACTTGGGCAAGTCACTTATCTCTGTTTATCTCAGTTTCCTCAGTTGTAAAATGAGCTGGGGAAGAAAATGGCAAACCATTTTTGCCAAGAAAACCCCAAGTGGGATCACAGAGAGTCAGAAATGACTAAAAAGAGTTTTCAGTATCATGTATACCACAGTAAATGGATATATATTTTAGAGAAGGATTCATTTTTAAAAGTTTCCGTTTATTTATTTATTTGTTTGTTTGCTACTTGTGTACATATTATGTCGGTCCTTATTCCAATACACTTAAGTGATTTATGAACTTTCCTTCTTCAAGAAGACTTCCCTTAAAGAAAAGGTTGACCTGACTGCACCTGCCCAGGATGTGAATATTGATGACAAACCAGGTATGAAAAAAAAAGAAGTTGTTTTCTATTATTAAGGACTTTTTACTTATGTTTTTCTTCTTGTCTCTGGGAATGGCAGGATTTTGAGGAATATATGGGTGTATCTACTTGGATGGTGGCAGAGCCAGCCTATCTGAAAAAGATTCAGTGTTTAAAATTGGCATCGTGGAATGACACCATGAGCCAAAACCCAGAAGTATACATGGGAAGCTGCTCAGGTATAGTCTTACCCGTTCAGGGCCTAGCGCATTGCCTTATATGCAGTGCGTAGAGCGCTGGGCCTAGAGTCAGGAAGATCTGCTTTCAAATGTGGCCTTAGACACTTGTTAACTGTGTGACCCTGGGCAAGTCATTTAACTTCTGTTTGCCCCAGTTTCCACATCTGTAAAATAAGGATTAATAATAGCACCCACCTCCCAGGGTTGTTGTGAGGATCAAATGAGAGAGTATTTACGAAGCACTTGGCATACTTTAAAATGTTATATAAATGCTAGCTATTATTATTGCAGTTGTTAACAATAATATTAAATGGCTATTGAATTGAATTTGTGATAGGCTAACAATTGTGTTCAGACCATTTCTGTTACCAACTTCATCTGGAGAATATTATCTGATGATGTCAGAGAAATTACTGTCAAGCCAGTGAAGACACAGGGTTAACTAACATTCTATGCTGGTGCAGATGAACTCCAGAATATAGGTTTTCAATCCACATTCTCTACACAGGGTTAGTCCTTGAGGGAATTTTGTTCTTATCATAGTTTCTGTTCTGGGCTTAATATGTTACTCTGTCTGTCAGTAATATCCTTGACCACTTTATAGTCATGGTATTTTAGTGTGAAGGCTCAATAAACAGATCATGCAGTCAGGGAGTTAGAGCTCTTGGTAGAGTTATAAGCAGCAGGGAAAATACAGTCTGCCATATTATGCATGCAATAAAACTCCAAGATAAATGGGATTGGGAGTATTTAGGGCAATACAAAAAAAGAGTAATATATATTGAACTGAGTTTGTTGAAAGAGGTTAGATAAGGATAGATAAAGGATTTGTTTGTGTTTATAGCACTGATATGTGCCAGGAGCTGTGCTAAGTGCTGGGGATACAGCCAAGTGAGACACTCCCTAGCTTCAAGGAGCTTACATTCTATTGGGGGGAAGCAACACTTAAAGAGGTGCTGGAAAAGTACTTTCTGGGAGGAGTTGGGAAGGAGGGATGGCAAAAGCACATTGAACAGCTTCCCAAATAATACCAGGGAACCACGCATTTTCTTCATTGGCCACACAGGGTTATTAATAAGTAGGAGGTCTTAACCTGGGGTCTATGAACTTGGTTTTAAAAATATATATATGTATATATATATATATTAGCTGCATTTCAATATAACTGGTTTCCTTTATAATCCCTTGTATCTTATTTTATGCGTTTAAAAACATCATTTTGAGAAAGGGTCCATAGGCTTCATCAGACTGCAAGAGGGGTCCATAACATAAACAAAAAAGGTTAACCAACCCCTGGTATGTGGCTATGCAGCAGTTAAAACAGGGGACCTCATCCCTTGCCCTGGAAGGATTCATTCTAATAAATCTTCAAATTTGGGTACAAAGACTTGATTGTCACTCCACAACCAACCAGAGGCTTTTGCACTCAGGTCCTCCTGACTTCAGGGCCGGTGCTCTATCCACTGCGCCACCTAGCTGACCCTTGACTTTTTAATTAGGGAAAAAAATTGCTACCATTTTGTACTCTTTGTTCTCTTTTTTGCATATGGAGGGTCAGAAATTCAGAACCAGTGAGGTGCTAGAAGAAAGGGAAGAAATCAGTTTGAGGAATAGTTTGTAAGATTGAATGTGATAATTGCACGTCTGACCTATGTGAGATTGCTTGTCTTCTCAGGGAAGGGGAGGGGAGAGAGGGAGAGAATTATAATATAACATTTATAATAATAACTCAAAAAAAACAACCAAAAGCTTAAATTTTTTTTAAATATAATTGCAGAAAAAATAAAATATGACTTTAAAAAATTGAATGTGAGCCATAGCATTTCAGGATCTCTTCTCTGTGGTTGTCACAGGCTATGATATGAGTAGACAAGGAAGAAGCTAATACTGCTACTGCCCATCGCAGAGATTGTAGGTGTCTCTACCTGAAAAGGAACTACAGAGTCTACAGAGAGCCTCACTGGAAGAGAATACATTAACAAAACATGTCTTTAGGGGCAGCTAGGTGGTGCAGTGGATAGAGCACTGGCCCTGGAGTCAGGAGGACCTGAGTTCAAATCCAGCCTCAGACCAAACACTTGACACTTACTAGCTGTGTGACCCTGGGCAAGTCGCTTAACCCCAATTGCCTAAAAAACAAAAAAACAAAAAAAACCCCCCATGTCTTTAAAAAAAAACAACATGTCTTTTTAGTATAGGGCGTCTTAACTTTCTTTGTGTCATGAACCCTTTCAGCAATCTGGACTTTTGGACCTTTGGCCTATGGAGCTCTTTTCAAAATAATGTTTTTAAATGCATAAAATAAAATATATAGAATTACAAAAGAAACCAACTATATTGAAATACAGTTATCAGAATATTGAACAAAGTTCTCAGATCGCTTTAAATCTATGTGTTATAAAGTAGAACGTATGTGAATCAGTGAATAATGCTAATTATCAGACAAAAAAACTAGAGATTAATTTGTTTTAATGTAACTTGCCTTAAAAAGAAAAAAATGACAGTGTCTCTTTTCCTCCCCACACCCTCCTCCTTTTAAAATGTAGCTTTGAAAATAAGTTCTATGGATGAAGCCATGCCAAAGGACGTGTCTGTTGACACAGGTAGGAGAAAGCCATTTTAATGAACTTCCAATTGTAATTTTTTGATTGATTCATATCTCACATAAAACAAGCTTACAATATTCTTAATTGCTCAGTAAAAAGTTGAGTAGGTAGAAGATGGTTGCTGATGTAGGTTTTGCTGCGGAGAGAACTTAGGCTTTCACCTGGGCTCCTGTTGTGTGTAATATTGCTTTCTGAATATTTTATATGGATGTGTTTGTTTTTTGACTCTCCTTCCCGCCTGCCAGTTATGAGAGGGTAGAGTAGTCTAATTATCCCCAATTTAGGTTGTGTAAGGAGAGGACTGAAAATTTCATTTGGGAGTGACTTAGCCACTGAGTGAGAGATTGAGATGGCTCAGAACAAGGGAAATTTTAGTAGGCTATTTTGCTTGCTTTTTTGTATGGTATAAATAGATGATGATATTTTTGCTGGATGTCCAATATCAATAAGAGCTATTTCCCAAAAATCCCTCCTTCCCAAATTTTTATATATACCAGGAAATGTATTAATTAAAGATGGTTCTGAGGAGAGTGAAATTAGAGTTGTATCAAGCACAAAGCTGAGTCAGAAGTAATTCCTGGAAAAGGAATAAATTGTAACTCTCAGAAGATTCTTTGTTTGGGAAGTGAGGGAGAATACTTGGACCCGTGCAGGTTCAGCTTCTGCTTGATTGAGTCCTCAGTAAGCCAACATTGGCTTGTCAGGGTCTACCTTGTGAAGAGTCTCGTCCTGGGTTTTTCTTTCTTTCTTTCTTTTTTTGTTTTCATTCTGGCTTTGGCAAGACCCAGAAACAAGATGGCATTCTCATTTTTATTATCTTTAATCATGTTCTTTCTTCAGCATGTATGAAGCTATGGCATATATCTGTTGAAATTAGGTAGATCAAGATGTCAGACTGATACACAAAGCAGGTAGAGAAATTATTTACCTTTGAAGTTTATGATCTGGACAATGACATTAAGAAGTCAAAAATTGAGTTTGTACATCAATAGGAGTTCCTCCAAATTATATGGATCATCATTCTTGTCTCCATCCTCCCATTTAATTATTTGAAACTAGACTACAGAAAGTATTACCAAGTTCATTCACAGTATGGAAAAATTTACACTGGTTTCGGCCAAATGTCTAATAGATTCTCCCCCTCCCCCCCATCTTTGATATCTGCAAACTGAATTGGGAATGTATAAGTCTTTGTTGAATTTATATTATGCCATTATTAAAGGTTATTTGATTTGAAGGGTAAAATGCCATTTTGTTACAGCATTAAGAAAACATCTTCTCTCACCATAGTAGATAAGACTCTTAATGATTTCCTGGCTTTAAGAGATTTTAGTATGTAAATATGGCACATATAGTCAATTTTACATGATATGTGAACTTTATGATCAAATTAATTTTAAAAGTATCTTTCTCCATGGGCTTTGCTTGAGGAGTAGCATATTAGAATAAAGATCAATCAAATCTAGTGACCAGAGGTAGTGAGCATGGCTTAGAGATAAAATTGTATTTGAATTTGTTTTCTTCTTAATGTGGTACATATGGTTTATTTATAGACTTTTTTGCTTGTGTTATTTTTTTTTCTAATATGGACAAAGAGTCTTTTATGCTACACACCCACACCCACACTCATTTTATTTAATAGAGGCAAAATGATATAATGGATAGTGAGCTGTTCATAGAGCAAGGGAGACCTTCATTCAAGTCCTACTTCTGACAGATATTGACTGATTGACCCCAGGAAAGTCTTCTTGATGCTTTAGTCAACCCTCTAAGACTGTAAGTTGCAGAGAAGATATTGATCTGCAATGGTAAAGGGAGTTTCCTCTTCTGGGAGCTGTTCATTGTTTCTAAAGTTAAGTTTTGAACATCAGGCCTAATTTTTAAATTGACAAAAGAACTTTGAGAGGTCCTTAAATCCAATCCCTTTCTCTTTCCAAAGTCTGTGAGTCTACAGTTTTTCAGGAAAGCATCTATAGCTGTCTATATAAAAATGATAATGTTTTCCCCTTGGTATCTTGGTGTGGTAAATTTGCTTTTGTTGGAGCCCTAAAGATAGTGATTTGCAATACCAATCAACTTTTCACTCTTTCTAAGGTTAAGTTGTTGAACTTCAGGCCTAATTTTCTTTCTTTTTTTTTTTTTTGGTGAGGCAGTTGGGGTTAAGTGATTTGCCCAGAGTCACACAGCTAGTGAATGTTATGTATCTGAGGCTAAATTTGAACTCAGATCCTCCTCACTCCAGGACCGGGGCTCTATCCACTGCATCACCTAGCTACCCTTCTTCAGGCCTAATTTCTAATTCACTGAGGAACTTTGAGAGGTCCCTAAATCTAATCCTTGCAAAGTCTGTGAGTCTACAGTATTTCAGAAAAGCAGTTACCCACCCTTTTCTTAGACAAGGGCCTTTGCAATGAAGCTCTTTCTCCTTCCCGCCCCCACCCTGCCCATCCTTTACTCCTGTTAAAAGCTACAGCATGTCAGTTAACTTCTGTACCTTTGTCCAGAACCATAGCAGCACTCTCTGTATATCTGTGAACAGCAATTAAACTACTTTGGGAATGGTACTGTGGAATTTTCCAGCTTCTGCATAACTAAACTGTATATATATAACTCAGCCATCTTGGTTCTAGGACAGTCCCGTATAGTCATGATTTAGAATTGGAAGGAGAACAATTAAGGTAAGGTAACATTTATCGAGCACCTACTATGTGCCAGGCACTGTGCTAAGTACTTTACAAATTCTATCTTACGTGATACTCACAGTAACTCTAGGAGGTAGTGCTATTATTATCCTCATTTTACAGTTGAGGAAACTGAGGCAGACAGAGTTAAGTGACTTTCCTAGGGTCACACAGCTAGTAAATATCTGAGGTCACATTTGAACGCAGGTCTTCTCAACTGTGTTCAGTAGGAGCCACCTGCCATTGAGTGGTGGTATAGTCCAAGAATCAGCAAATTATAGCCCACATGCCAAATTTGGCCCATGTCTTATAATGTCCAGGGGAATATTGCTATTTTGTTTTGGCCCATGGTTTTCCAAAAATGTTTTTGTAAGTCTTGTGAGCTACGGCTAAGGATAGCACTTATTCATGAACAGTACAAAAACAGACTGCTGGGCTGGATTTGGCCCGAGGACTGTAATTTGCCAACCTCTGATCTAGTTTAACTCCTTCATTTTATAGGTGTAGGAACTGAGTTTCCAAAAAGGGGATGTGATTTGTGAAAGGTCATATGGGAGCAGAGTCAGAATTTGAACCTATGTCTTCTGACTCGAAATTCAGAGTATCCCACGCTGCCTTAGTATTTCCCAACCTTTTTTGTCTGTAACTTTTTGGAATATATCAAACCTGTTTGATTTTTATTGTTTTCTAGGTGGTAGAGGGTAAGGAAGTTATGAGGATAATTGGCAGAGAAGCACTCATCTTTTTCTTTCCATAGAAATAATAATGTCTGCTAATAATAATGTAACACCTCACTTATCCAGTGGCATTGTGGGTAATGAAGTGTTCTATGAAAGGTAATTTTGTAGATAAGGGAAACTTACCATTTTAAGCTTTGAGTTTTAAACAAATTTGGATGGAAATCTTTCTAAAAGATATTACATAATTAATTAGAGCATGTTAAACATACAATATAGTTAACTTTTCTTGATGACTTATAGAATTACAGAATTGGAAAGTCTTAGAAAGACCTCAGAAGTCCAAATCTAGTCCAACCCATAGCTGAATGAGTATCTCCTCTTACAAAAATCCTTCCTGTGTGATGTTATCCCCTTTACTTAAGTATTTTCAGGGACAGAGAACTCATAGTCTGCCAGTGCACACTGCCCATTCTAGTGCAGCTCTCATTGTTAGGAAGCTTCTCTTCGCAGTGAGTCAATATTTGTCTTTATGTAATGTCTACCTATTGATCCTATTTCTGTCTTCCAGAGAAAAGCAGAAAAAAATACAATCCCTCTTTTACTTGAAATTCTTTTAGACATAACTATCATGATTCACTCTCTTTCTCCCCTGTCTTTTCCAGGCTAAACTTCCCCAGACAAACTCAGTATGACTCAAAGTAATACTCATATGTGTAGGACTTCTTGCTCCAACCACAAAAGGGTCCAGATATCCGTTGATGATTCTGGTATCTTTAGACTCATTATCAACTGTTGTTTCTCAGTGTGTTGGGATAGAGCAGGCTTCCCCTTTTTTTATCTCCACATATTCTCTTAGGAAGAATTAAAGGGGAAACCAGATAATTAAATTTTCTCTTAATCTGCATGTTTCCATATAAGAAAGTCTATGCCCAGGTAGTAAGTAGAAAAGCTGAGACCAAAGCCCTTGCCTCCTGATTTTCAGGCTATTACCCACTTTCCAGTACCTCATCACCTCTCCATACCTCTGTTTTTAGAGCTTTGTGACTTAATTTCTATTTCTCAGAGACTTCTGTGGTTACCTATAGTTTACTATTATCTTCCACAATCATAATAAATCAGTAAGCATTTATGCAGCACCTATGTGCCAGGTACTAGGGAGACAATGAGAAAACATACAGTCCCTGCCTTTAAAAAGCTTTCAATTTAATGGGGGAGGTGATGTATATCCATAAACCAGATCATGCAAGATGTTGGATCATGAAGTAGATGGAAAGTAGCCATAGAGAAGGCATTGGTAGCTAGGGGGCACCAGGACAGGTCTCCTACAGGGGCAGTGCTTGAGCTGAGTCTTAATGGAAGGCAGGAGTTCTAAGGGGTAGAGGTAAAGAGAGCAAGAAATGTGGAGCATGGAATGGAGTGGGAAGACACTTCAGGATGAGTCTAATGAGAAGGCTCTTGTCATCGTTCAGGGAGAGATGCGGAGAAATGACAAAATGTGACTGTTGTCTACCTGGTGAATGAGCATGAGGAGTCAAAGATGACACCTAGTTTGCAAACTTAGATAACTCAGAGCCCCTGTATACTAATAAGGAAGATCAGAAGAACATTTTTTTTGGGGGGGAAGGGAAGATAAAGAGTTCTGTGGACGTGTTGAATTTGAGATTCCTTTAGGACATCCAATTCAAAATGTCCAAGAAGTAGCAGGTGAGTCATTCTTGTATCTCAAGAGAGAAACTAGGGGGACAGCGAGGTGGCACAGTAGAGAGAGCATGGGACCTAATGTCAGGAGGACTTGAGTTCAAGTCCAGCCTCAGATCAAACACTTACTAGCTGTGTGACCCTAGGCAAGTCACTTAACCCCAATTGCCTAAAAACAAAACAAAAAAAAGAGAGAGAGAGAGAGAAACTAGGAATAGATATGTAGATCTGGGAAAATCAAACCTATGGGAACTGATAAGATTACCGAGTAAGAGAGAAGAGAGAAGAGGGCCCAGGCCAGAGCATTAGGGGGCACCCATATTTAGTGAGCAAGACATGTATCCAACAAAGAAGACTAAAAAGAAACCATTGGATAGTTGTGAGGAAAATACACATACAGAGAGAGAAGAGGGGGAGGGTGGAGAGAAAGAAAACCCAGAGCGGAAAGGGTTTGCAAAAGGAGAAAATGGTCAGCAGTGACAAATGCTATAGAGAGGTCAGCAGGGATGAGACTTGAGAAAAGTCATTAGATTTATTAACTTTAGTAAGTTTATTGGTTTCAGTTGAGTGATGACATCAGAAGCCAGATTACCAAGGCTTTAGAAGAGAGGGAAAGAAGAAGAAACAGAGGCATCAAAGATAGGGGGCCTTTTCAAGGAATTTAGATGAGAAGTTTGCCCTTTGGACAAATGAGGCTTTATGGTACTACTCTACATTCTTATAAGGCTCTTTCCCACTTTTTATAGTATCCTCACATATTGTGTCTTCACTGTTCCTCTCAACAATCCTCCAAGGTAGGTAGGGAGGTCGTTATCCCCATTTGTCAGAAGAAGAGAATGAAAACAGTTGTGTCTTCCCCAACGTCAAACAACTAATTAATGTAAGGCTTAGAGTCTAAGTTTCTGTACTCCTAATTCTGTACTCCTGATCTGTACTCCTAATGTGTACATCACATACTTCTTGTACCCAGTCATAATTCATTACACACACACACACACACACACACACACACACATCCCTGTCCTTCCATTTCTCTTCACCATCTTTAACCCAACATCCCACATCCTGATTCTGCCTGAACATTCTAGCAAGAAATCCACAAAAGAGAATCAAGAAAACCCAAGAAAGGTCATGCTGTACTGATTAGAAGACTATGTGTGTTAGAAGACCCTGGACCAAACAATTGTGAGCTTTGAGGGATGTGGTCTAGGGCAGAGCAGGGAGAAACCAGAGCCTGATCAGTTCGCCTGAGTTTCGGTAGAAGTTTCCATTATTCTCCTTGAAGTAAGCCTGGCATGTTCTCCTCTCTGCAGCAACCACATGAGCAGGCTTGTAGCCCCAGGTAGCTGGGGAATGAGTCTCCCGACCAGCTATTATTCTTTCATGGGTTGGAGGGAGTGTGCATAGGAGGTTTCCCAAAGCAAGGCTCTTCTTTCATCAGAATGTAGGACACATAACTAGGAAAGGGAAACTTGTCAAAAACAACTTGTCATTGTTTAAAAAAAAACAGATTAATGTGTGGACTTTTTTTTTTTTGGGTGAGGATGAGGGGCAGGCATTGTATAGAGGGCCACAGAACCATAGGATTATGGTTTTAGAGCTGGAAGGAATCTCAGGGGTCATTTAGTCCAACCTTTTTATAAGGGAACTGAGCTCCTGAGGGTTGAATTACTTGCTAATGATAGATTGATTTTTGTGTACTTCTTGCATCTCTCTCTCTCTCTCTCTCTCTCTCTTTCTCTTTCTCTCTCTCCCTCTCCTCTTCCCTCTCCCAGTAAAATCTAGCCTCAGACACTTACTAGTTGTGTAACCCATGCCAAGTCACTTAGTCTCAGCTTCAGTTTTCTCTACTGTAAAATGGCGATAGTAGCACCTACCTGCCAGGATTGTTGTGAGGATCAAAGCCCAGTGTCTGTCACATAGTTGGTGCTTAATAAATGCTTATTTTCTTCCTTCTCTCTTAAAAAATGTGTCATATATGAATGACTAGTAAGATCTAACAGTTTGCTTTATGTGCTGTATTGGATATATTGACACTTTTCAGGTTGCCCAGTTCTCCCTTCTTTTCTGACTGCCTCAAGTGAATATTTATGTATAGGATTTTTAATAAGCATAATCAATTCAGATCCTCTTAAAGGAGATTTGCATCCTTAAGCAATGTAAAAGACGATGGGATGAAGCTATAACGTCTTCCGTAGGGGTGAATATATAAACCTGAATACAATAGAAAATGCAGTACTTGCATTCCTATGAGTTATCTTTCTTCCATGGAATTTTTATAGGGCTTCTTAGTCAGCAGTTTCAGAATTTGCAACATCTCATTTTGTCCTGGAGTTTCTAACTGTCTTCTGGAAGTAGTAGAAACCGAAATCTGGAAATTGTTCATGGCTACTTGCTTTTAACCAAAAAGAGGTGGGGAAATTAACCCTCACATGGAGATGAGTGAGTAGGCTCTATGGAAATTTGTTGCTGAAGGTCTTAGTTTTATGATTCTGTGTCTCTCCTGTAGAAGTACTTTTTTTTAATGGATGATAGTATTTTAATGAATCATTACATTAAGCTTGTGTAGATCTCAGTCATACAGTTTTAACTTTTCCTCCTAAGAAAAATTTTATGTCCCATTTGTCTTTATTTATGTGACAACTTTAATTTCTTGTATATAACAGGTCCTCAAACCCTTCCCACAATATAATGTCATTGTATTAGAACTAGTAGACAAAACAAATGGCTGGAGAAACTGTTTTCTACCCTCCTTGGGAATAAGCTTAGAAAATTTTTTCCAAGGCTAACAGAAAGCCTTGTGGGCCAAGAATTCCTTTAGTCATAAATGCTAATTGATAACTCTATGAAAGTCACCTGTTTAACCAAGAATTTCTGTGTTAACTAGCTTAGTTTTGAAAATTATTTATGAGGATCTGAAATGATAAGAGGGAAAACGTGTTGGAACTTTTCCTTTCAATTCTGGCTTCTGATTTTAGAAACAGGATTTCAGTTGCTCGTGAAAATAAGGAAGACATCAAATCACTCTGTGTTGGAGCCTCCCACTTATCCGCTGGTGTGTTCTTTGCTAGCTCTGCAGATAAGTTTCTGGGTTTATAATGGCATAAGTGGAACCCAAGCAAATAGCAATAATCTCTGTTTCAGCTTCTCCTAAGGACTTGAACACTGTCAAAGCAAGACCAAGATCCAGGTAGTGTTTCTTTGATTTCTATTTCAGTGCCTTGAATTCTGCCTCATCTCTCTCTGGGGGAAAAATAAACAAAACATTGCCTTGATATTTCACTTGTATGTCTCTATATCTCTATATGTACATACATATGTACATAGAGATGCAATTTCAAAAGTCACAAATATATACATCTATATGTATGTTGCATATACATATATATATGCATAAATATGTCTATATGTAATTTCATTAGTGATGAATGGTATGCTGAATACAAGCAGTGACCCTGAGTAGACTTTGGAGCCTTGTTTGTGTCAGCACTAAAAAGCAATAGTTTTTCCATAACCTTTTTTGGGATGAGGTTGCATATATAATGTATTACTCTGTGGGTATAAGATGGAGAAGTAAGTGGAGAAAATAAACTTGAATGAAAGGAAATAATCATTAACATTAACACTGAAGTTTGATATTGTAACCAAAATGAATCCCTCAACGCTAAAGAAAAGGCAGTGGTGGTGGTGGTGGTGGTGGGGAAGCCATTTAAGACCACTGAATGTATCTTTATGCCTTTTCATCTTTAGAGCCAATAAAGTAAGCTATATAAATAATCCATTATTCCCCTTAGAGAGTTCTTTGCATTTGGTGCTTACACCACAAAAGGAAAGAAAAAACAGTAAGAGTAGAGTAGGAGAAACATTAGATTTGTTTATGTGGTTGATTGAGACCAAAACAAATTTAAAAAATATAAAAGCCAATGTTACAGCAGATAATAGGCTGGCCCTCTACTATCTACAAGAACTCATTTTTCAAATTATGTTTGTGTTTTCTGATTTGATTCTGGTCTTTGAAGAGTGTCTAATCTCCTCATGAAATTACTTGTATGCAATAGACATGTTTCTGAAAAATGTATAAATCAAATCCTATTGTAGACCAATGGGATGTGTTGGCTACCTAAGATATCTTGTCATTCTTTCTAAGGTCATCCCTCCTTCTCCAATCTTGATTATGCCTAAATATGAACTTTTTCATATTGATTTTGGTTAAATTCCAAATGATCCCCCACATATATATGTAATCCTATATCTAATCTTATACTATATCTATATATTATATGTATCTCTATATTATATGTATTTATGATCTGTTTATCATAAATTGAGAAACCTTTTACATAGCAAAGTTATGATTACCCTATTTTAAGCTTCATGATCAGCAAATAAATTTTGAGAAAAAAATCTTTTTGATGAATGAACACAATATCCTTCTGGTATCTCCACTTTCCTCAAAAAAGACAAGCATTGCTTGCTCAGGGGGCCAGTCCCTGGCTACCTCTGATGTTTAATACACCTTAATACTCTGCAATTCCAGAACAGTATAGTCCATCATTGGGGAAGGAGGTGGTGGGATGGGGAAGGGAACTAATATTCATACAGCACCTACAGTGAGCTAGGCACTGCTAAGTGCTTTTACAAGTGCTATCTCATTTGATCATTGGAAATCCCCAAGCTACATTTAAACAGATAAAGTTGACTGAAGTGAGAATGGCAGGGTTTTTCTTTCTGCTGGCCCTAAAGAACTAGTCACATCCACATTTACAGTTTCTGTTCATCCAAATTGTAGATTAATGTTTAGACATTAGGGTTCTAAACCAATGACAATCTCTTTTCTAATACATTTCACCTAAAACCTGAGCTTAGCTGGAACAAAGAAAATAATATCACCTATATGCTTTTTTTGAGGGGGGTATAGGCTTTCATTTTTGTACCCATAGTTTTGCATGTGCTTGGAAATAAAATGGAACCAATATTTTTTGTTGAAGGGGAGAATGTGTAAATGCTTTTTTTGGAATGAGGAATGTCATTAAGAATATATCTGCTGTGGATCATTCTATGACCTTCTAGAGAGAACCTATATATATATATATATATATATATATATATATATATATACATCTTAAATTTTGAAAGTAACTATTAAAAAGCTGATCCCTTTTCATCTCAATCACCCCTGTCTTTGGTAAAAACAAAACAGAACAAAACAAAAAATCAGAACGCTCATGTCCTGTTTTGGCTCTGGTACCTGTTATGCCTAATGTATTATTGCAGGTGTAACACCTAGAGTTGTTAGTGCTGACTTTAGTCAAGATTGCAACCTTGCAAGAAATCAAAACAAAACAAAACAAAACAACAACAACAAAAACCCTTGACTATAGCAAAAGAAATCTGAAAAGCTTATTCAGCACAAGCCAACTTGCCATAATAGTAATTCCTTTGCCTAGAACAGGAAGGGTTTCATGATATTTAATAGAATTTGAATTGACGTAATACTGAGTAATACTTCTCCCCTACATTCCCCCCCCCCCCCCCCCGCTTTAAACCAGAGAGACAACTTAAGACCCAATTGCTAATTGAGGTACCTGGTCAAGGTCATTCAAGGATTAAGTGGGAAGCCTGGAATTGTCCTGTTTCCTAATTTCTAGTTCTATTATCTCACAAGCCCTAAAGAATGTGATTTCATAAGCAATAGGCTCTTAGTTTGAGGCAGGGGTGGGGTATGTTACTATCCAAAATGATGGAGGTTTTTGTTAAGTACATTTCACTTGATGTGGCCCTACTGGGAATTATTTCCTTCTTGGCTCATAGTGGTTTGAGTGACATAAACCAGACTATTGGACGTATTATATGGAAATATAATATAGCTTGAAAACAACATAATAACTAATGTTACTTAGAATAAAAAGAATCCTGGTTTCTGTGTACTTGGGTTGTATTTGGAACATGTTTCCTTGCTGATACGTACCTCCTGCTTTTTTCACTAGTCACAATATGGTGCATGCCCTGTGGATAGGAGGAAAGAATTGCTTAATGCCATGTGATCTTTGTGGTAAAATGAGGCTGCATTACCAATGCAGATCTGACAAACATTTCTATTTTTAATGTCATGTATAGTTGCAGTAACAGTTTGAATTTACATACCATTCTCCTCCCCCACCCTCCCATCACAAAGGATGGACATTTAGGTTTAAAGATGTTACAGGCCAATGACTTCATTTTATAGTTGAATCTGACAGATCATTGCCCTGTCCATGCTAATTGCTTTTCAAGACCACTGAACTCACTTGGCTAAGCCTGTGGGACATTATTTTTCCTCTCTCAATTCCAACTCCAGAGAGTGAAACTATTGCTATCTTCCTTTTGATATTCCCTTATTTTGCTGCAGATCTTACTCTAACACATCTCTAGAAGAGGCCATGAAAAGGGTCGAGGAACCTCCCACTCCCCCACCGAGACCACAGAAATCCCATTCCAGAGCCTCCTCCTTGGATCTGAATAAAGTCTTCCAGCCAAATGCTCCAGGTGAAGTTGCCCTTTTCTTCCCCTAGCACATTTCCTTTGGTTTCATAGCTGAAAGACATGCTTTTGATAGTAGAACTCAAGAGATGAACAGAGTAATTTCACCCTACCGCCATGTTTTGTTAGGATGGTACTATTGTGTTCATTCAGGAGAAAATAGGTTTCAGAGGTGTCTTGGGAGGATGTCTCAAAGATGCTATGGGCCAAGAAATGTGAGATTCCTAAATCTCAAAGTTTGGATATTCTTTGAGATTGGGCAGCTAACAAAATGGATGGTTGCTGCTTGAGTCCTTTCATCTCTTTCACTCATGAGTAGGGCTCTGCTTCAGTTTGGTTTTTCTCTTCATCACTTCATTGTTTTATTGTTGTTGGACTTGCCCAGGGTCACACAGCTAATAAGTGTCAAGTGTCTGGCTTGAACTCAGGTCCTCTTGACTCCAGGGCGAGTGCCACCTAGATGCCCTCCTCGCTTCATTGTTAAGAGGAAGATGTGGTTCAGTCTTGAGGTTCAGGCTGCACTAAATACCTTCCTTGGCAAAAAAATTCAATTTTCCTTTGGTTCCTATTCTGAGTGAGAAGATGCCGGTTTCCTAGCCTGTCTTGCTACTTCCATATCTAGAGTCTGATTGTCTTTTTTTTTTTTTTTTTAAATCCAGATTGGTAGGAGAAAGGAGGGAATGGACTGCTGGGTAGACGCTGTAGTATTGCCACAAGGGCAGAAAATGTTAAGAAACAATCCATCGATCCCAATCATTGCACCTTGTTGTGGCTTCAGGGATTGTCCCTTCCCTCCTCCCCCCAAGTTGCTCACTCCCCAATTTAGGCCATAGAGTGTGTATGAGTAGTGTGTGTAGGAAGGGTGTGGAGGGAGGTAGTATCCTCCATGGATCCCACTCTTTGTGGCTGTGGGGTAGTGCAATGAGTAGAGTGCTAGAACTGGAGTCAGAAGGACCTGAGTTCGAATGCTGCCTCAGACATTTATTGCCGTGTGACCCTGAACAATTTATTTTACGTTTCTGAGGCCCAGTTTCCTCATCTGTACAATAGGAATAATAAATAGTACCTACTTGATAGGGTTGTCGTGAAGATGAACTGAGATAACTTGTAGAGCACTATATAAATGCTAGCTATTGTTGTTGATATTATTATTCTAGATACTATGGGAGACTTCTAGGTATACCTGGGAGCGTTGTAGAGGGAGCAACAAACCTTTTCTTTAGTGAAAATTATAAACTTAGGATTTATTGTAGTTATAATTGCTATTTGGGTTTAAACCAATCCTTTCTTCCAACTAACATAAGCAAATTGCAAATAAGATTATTTCTTGGAACTCTATAAATCTGTGTTGGTTTAACAGTAAGCCAGCCCTAGTCAAGGACTGGTGATTTTCCGATTGTTGCTTTTTTTCCCCAGAGTTAGAAAAGATTCTCCTTGGCCTATAAATCAGTCCTGTTCTTTGTGGTTAGGGTAGAACCCAGCTTGTTTTACTTGTATTAAAAACGGACCGTCTTCGCTGTGAGGATAGAACTTTAAAAAAAAAATCTGTTATAGACTAGAGCTGCTTTTTCTGAGTGAAATTTAATTCTGGGTTGTATGAGGTCATTAGATAACAATTTGATTTGCTATTTAAGACTTTTTTTTCTCCCTGAGGAAAATATCCTGGAAAAGTCTATCTAAATATCCAACTGACTCTTTGGGAGCAGTTGCAGATGATTTTAAAAATGCGGTGAAACCAGTGCATCTGAGCATAATTCATAGATGTTTAAATGCAGATATCTAGAAGGACTATTTCAAGGACTTTTCCTCTAAATGAAGTATCTGACAGTTGTGAGACATCCAAGTGCCTAATCTGTATCACTGGGGCTTCTAACATGCGTGTGATTCTAGGATTTCTGCCCTAAGAGAAATAAGGTCCAAGGAGGTGCCTGTAGCCAAGGTAGTTTGTACAGTAATGAGTTTGGATAAGACTTGGAATAAAGAGATGCTGGATAGATGAATTTCATGCTTAAAGATCCTGCTTCTTTTTCTTATTAGTCAAACATTTACCTAAATAAATGGATATAAAAAGTATTTTAACAATCTGGCATGATCATAGCAGAAATTACTTAGTTTTCCTTATGGACTAAATTCTCCATGACTTGAAGGTCAGATTTCATAACAGCACACTCTAGAGAACAGTCTAAATTGTTTGGTTATAATGAAATTATGTTTTACCAAGTATTGCTTAAAATAAGTGGGTCTCTGGCCTGGTATTAGAATCTATTTGTTATATGTTCTGATGGTATTGTCATAACTGGATTTAAACAGTGTTTTTAGGCCATACTAACATACAAACTGCTCCTAAATCTTGATTAATATTAAAATTAGTAAGCTCAGCTATACCATAAGCATAAATAGGAATGACTTACAAAGTAGAACTAAACCCAGATTATAAAAAAAAAAGATAAATTTAAAAAATGCCATCAGTTTTGAGACCAGAAAGACACTAAAAAGGCAATAGGAACATGTAGTAATTCTTTAAAAATAAATTTTGATTATTTTACTTTTTCACAGTATCAAACTTTCTCTCTGTTTTCTTCCTTAGAAAAAAATAAAGAAATCAGCAAAAATTATCAATATATCAAAAATGGAGATTTTAAAAAAGTGTATTGATCAGAAGACTGATAGAAGTCTTCTGACTTCTCACCAGCAGTGTTATGCACACATGACTTCAGCACATATAGGATTAAGACACTTTATATGCATATTATATATATTATATAATCTCATTTAATACATCAAATGATCTGTGATGTTGATAGTACCAATAATATTCTCGTTGTACAGATGAAGCACCTGAAGCTCCCAGGTCAGGTTATATACCAGGGGCAGTAAGTGAGAGACCAGAAACTTCAACCCTGGGTAGCTTTCATTACTCCATGCTACCATTTTCTGAATGTTACTCCAATACTTCAGAGAATCTGTGAGTCACTCCTTTTAAAAGTGGTCACTCCTTTTAAAAAACATCAATTTTCAATTCAACAAATGTAAATTTCTTGAGAGTAGAAACTTTTCTTTTTTTTCTTAAAAAACTTTTTTTAGGTTATCTCTAGCACCTAATACAGAGTAGACACTTAATAAGTGCAGAGTTGAATTGAATTGAACATTTATTGAACACCTATAGTATGGAAGGTGATGTATTTAGGTAGTGGGGAAATACAAAGACAAAACAGTCCTTGCCATCAAAGAACGTAAGTAAGTGTACTTTTATACTTTGATGCGTTTGTATTTTCCTCAGTGTGGTTACTTTCTCTAGTGATTCAATCTGTTTGCCGTCTGTCCATCCATAGGCCAACTTGTGTGGCCTTTGTCCATGGCCTCCCCTCTGATTTCAGTTCCATTTAATGTTCTGAAAGAGTTCCTCTAGTTCTCATGATGCTGCATCGTTATAATTGGAGGTTGTAAGGTGTGCATCAATTACTTCTTGCTCTTGCCGCATGACTGGCTCATCTTTTTCTGGTTGACACATCTAGGTGTCAACTGTATTTCACAATTTTGATAAGTAAGATCCCTGTTTTTCAGGGACTCTCCTCTCTGTTTACCTGCCAGTCTACTACCTTTCAGTGCCCTCTCTGCTATGTGATGTCATCTTCTGGCCCCTGACTTGACCAGCTCACCCCCTGGTGTGAGCTGTTATAGGTTTTATATGATGATACTTATAATATTATATATTATAGAATAGAAGAAGCTATTTTTGCTCCTTGTGGTGTAGTTCTGTTGGTCCAGCTTTCAGCCCCCTCGTCCTTGTCTCTGCAAGTCTTGTTCCATAGTTTTCATGGTATTTTAAGTTTTTCAGACAGCTTTCCTTTGTCTGAAAGACCATTATTGTTAAGGAGTTCAAAAAGTGTATTCCTTATAAAAGGGATTAATTAGCCAGCAAAATGCTGTTACTAGAAGATAAAGCAATCAACAAATATTGCAGTGGATAGAGCACCGGACTTGGAATCAGAAAGACTCATCTTCCTGAGTTCAAATTTGGCCTCAGACGCTTACTAGCTGTGTGACCCTGGGCAAGTCACTTACCCCTGTTTGCCTTAGTTCCTCATCTGTAAAATGAGCTAGACAAGGAAATAGCAAACCACTCCAGTATGTCTGCCAAGAAAACCCCAAATGGGGTCATAAAGAGTTGGACATGACTGAAAAATGACTGAACAACGACTGAAAACATGTATAAAGCACTATGTAGATGCTCTGGGAGGCATAAACAAATGTTAGAATAAAATCCTTTTTCTGAAGGCGATTACCTACCAATTTGGAAGATAAGGTGAAAATATATTATGTAACGACTTTTAGTATCAAAATGCCATTGTGATTGTATCTCTCCCCTCTCAGTAAACCCCCGTAGCTCCCTACCCCAAAATAAGATTCTTTATTTGTCATTTAAAGCTTTTCACAATCTGGTCTCAATCTACTTTTCCAGACTTCTTCTACGTTACTCCCCTCCATACTCTCTGCAGTCCAGTCATGGTGGTTTGCTTTCTGTTCTGTGCACAAGACACTCCAGATGCTTTCCTTGTGGTTTTGCACTGGCTCTCCTCAGTACCTGGATGCACTCCTACCTCGCTTTTGCAACTTAGCATTCCTTGTTTCCTTCAGAATTCAGCTCACGTACAACCTTCTTACATAAAACCTTTCCTGATCCCTGCAGATGCTAGTGCCTTCTCCTAAAATTACCTCGTATTTATTTTATTTACTTGTATGCATATATCTTGTATATACTTATATGTATAATTGTTGTCTCTCCCCTTCTCCCCAATAGAATGTGAAAGTCTTTTTAAAAATAATATTTTATTTTTTCCTAATCACATATAAAAACAATTTTTAACATTCATTTTTTTAAATTTCGAGTTCCAAATTTCTCCCTCCCTCCGATTTCTTCTCCTTGAGACAGTAAGTAATTTGATACAGGTTCTACACATGTGCAATCATGCAAAACATATTTCTGTATTAGTCATGTTGTGAAA